CTGTTAGACAAGTGGGCCCCATGGGTGTGGGGACAGCGCCAGGAGGCCGTGTTCTAAGCAGTCAAAGACCTGCTTGTCTCGAACTCCGTCCTAGCGCACTTTGATGAGAGGTTGCTGGTGGTGCTGACATGCGACGCCTCGCCCTATGGCGTTGGCGCCATCCTAGGCCACCAACTTCTGGATGGAAGAGAGGTGCCGATGGCTTACTTTTTCCAGACCCTCTCCACAGCCAAGAGGAACTATTTGCAAATAGACAAAGAGGGCCTGGCAATCGTGAAGGGAGTAAAGAAATTTCACAATTTCTTGTATGGGTGCCCCTTTACCGTGGTGACCAACCACAAGTCGCTACTTGCCCTACTTGCCCCCGAGAAGCACATCCCTCAAGTAATGTCACCCCGCGTCCTCAGGTGGTTGATTTTCCTCACCAGCTACCAGTATAAAAGGGTCCACCGGCCCAGGAAGGTGATGGGCCGTACAGACGCCCTCAACAGACTGCCACTACCTGAGACCAGCCCTGACCCAGCACCCGCACATGACGTCATGAGCTTGGAACAGCTTCCTGACCGCCCCATTCAGGCGCTGGAAGTAGAATGCCACTCCATGAAGGACAGGGTCGTCTCCCGGGTCCTGGGACTGGGGTGTAGCGGGGATGGCCCAGTAGCAACCCCAAACCGGAATTTGCGGGCTATACGGCACGCAATCATGAACTGTCAGCCCACAAGGGGTGTGTGTATGGGGAAGCAGGGTGGTCGTTCCCCAGCCTCTTCCGCCAAAAGGTCCCTCACGAAAGCCCTACATGAAACACACCCAGGGGTAGTGAGAGTGAAGGCCCTTGCAAGGAGCTATGTGTGTTGGCCGGGAATGGACGGGGAGATAGAGGCCTGGGTTAAATACTGCCAGACCTGCCAGAAGTCCTGCCCAGATCCCCCAAGGGCCCCCATCCAACTTTGGGAGTCTGCCGAGCGCCGTGGTCCCGCCTGCTAGTGGACTTCACTGGCCCCTTCCAGGGATGGACAACCTTCATTGTGGTGGACTCATACTCCAAATGGCTGGAGGTTGCCCTGGTACCGTCCACTTCCACGGCCGGCAGCCATCTGAGTACTACGTAGGCTGTTCGTGACCCATGGGTTCCCTGACACCCTCGTCTCGGACAACGAAACAGCATTCATGCCAGAGGAGTTCCAGACCTTCACAATGCAAAGTGCCATCCGGCACGCACGATCGGCACTGTTCCACCCCGCCACCAACGGCCAAGCAGAGCACATGGTGCGGATCAGCAAGGACGCCCTCCGCCACATGACGCAAGGGGACTGGAATAATAATAATAATAATAATTTATTATTTGTACCCCGCCCATCTGGCTGGGTTTCCCAGCCACTCTGGGCGGCTTCCATAGAAACCAAAAATACAGTAAAATATCACAGATTAAAAACTTCCCTGAACAGGCCTGCCTTAAGATGTCTTCTGAATGTCAGGTAGTTATTTATCGCTTTGACATCTGATGGGAGGGCGTTCCACAGGGCGGGCGCCACTGCCGAGAAGGCCCTTTGCCTGGTTCCCTGTAGCTTTGCTTCTCGCAATGAGGGAACTGCCAGAAGGCCCTCGGCGCTGGACCTCGGCGTCCGGGCAGAACAATGGGGGTGGAGACGCTCCTTCAGGTATACTGGGCCGAGGCTGTTTAGGGCTTTAAAGGTCAACACCAGCACTTTGAATTGTGCTTGGAAATGTACTGGGAGCCAATGTAGGTCTTTCAAGACCGGTGTTATGTGGTCTCGGCGGCCGCCCCCAGTCACCAGTCTAGCTGCCGCATTCTGGATTAGTTGTAGTTTCCGAGTCACCTTCAAAGGTAGCCCCACGTAGAGCGCATTGCAGTAGTCCAAGCAGGAGATAACTAGAGCATGCACCACTCTGGCGAGACAGTCCGCGGGCAGGTAGGGTCTCAGCCTGCGTACCAGGTGGAGTTGGTAGACAGCTGCCCTTTATACAGAATTGACCTGCGCCTCCATGGACAGCTGTGAGTCCAAAATGACTCCCAGGCTCGGCACCCGGTCCTTCAGGGGCACAGTTACCCTATTCAGGACCAGGGAGTCCTCCACACCAGCCCGCCCCCTGTCCCCCAAAACAGTACTTCTGTCTTGTCAGGATTCAACTTCAATCCATTAGCCACCATCCATCCTCCAACCGCCTCCAGGCACTCACACAGGACCTTCACCGCCTTCACTGGTTCTGATTTGAAAGAGAGGTAGAGCTGGGTATCATCTGCATATTGATGGACACCCAGTCCAAACCCCCTGATGATCTCTTCCAGCGGCTTCATATAGATGTTAAAAAGGATGGGGGAGAGGATGGAACCCTGAGGCACCCCACAAGTGAGGGCCCAGGGGTCTGAACACTCATCCCCCACCACCACTTTCTGAACACGGCCCAGGAGGAAGGAGCGAAACCACTGTATGACAGTGCCCCCAGCTCCCAGCCCCTCTAGACGGTCCAGAAGGATGTTATGGTCGATTGTATCAAAGGCCGCTGAGAGATCCAGCAGAACCAGGAAACAACTCTCACCTTTGTCTCTAGCTCGCCGGAGATCATCAACCAGCATGGATGTTGGCATGGATGTTAAAATCCCCTAGGACAACCCAACTAGGTGTCTCCAGGAGAAAATCCGCCACGACCTGAAGCAGCTCGGACAGGGAATCCTTGGTGCAGCGGGCAGGTCGGTACTGGAAGTCCTGCCTCACTGCTTTTCTCCTAGCCCAGCATAGTACCCCCAGCACAACGACCGGCCAGAGCCCAGCAGAACTACTCATGGGCCGGCGCCTCACAACAAGACTGGACCATCTTCAACCTGATAGAGCCCAGGACGAGGCAGCAGTGGGGGAAGGTAGGAACCCCTGGACCTTCCAGCCCCGTGACTCAATGTACGCAAAGAACTTGGGAGCGGGCCCGGCAAGGGTACCCGCCACAGTCACCAGGGCGACTGGCCCTGGGTCGTACGAGATGCTAACAGAGGGGGGGCAAACCTGGCGCCGCCACTGCGATTAACTATAGCGACGATTCCTGGGGGGAAACTGCGAGGAGGGCTGGACAGAGGAATCCCAAGGGGACAGCAGAGGGGTGAGGCCCATAGAGCATATGCACACAGAATTGTTGGTCCACCAAGCGAAAGGGTGCATTTGGGGGGCCTGCCCCCCTCCATTCTCACATTCTTGGGTTTGGGAATCTTTTGTTTCTCCCACCTCTAAATTGTAAACAACCCACCTGCTTCCTGGTCAGGATCCCTGACCCAAACCAAGGCTCCTGAGGGTCACTACAAGGCACAGACCCCTTTTTCTTCCTAGCCAAGAAGTTCCACGGTGCCCTCGTGTGGCCAATAGCAATCTGTACAGTCATGTGGCTTTGGAATAAAATAATGGATCTGGAGTCACGGAGATCATGCCCTCCAACACTCAGGGCTTTTCCCTGTCATGGAATAAGCAGCAATGGCTGATGCCCATCGCAGGGCAGAAAACAGGGAGGCCAAGAGCAAACAGAGGCAGAAGCAGTGACAAGCAGAGCCCAGAGCCAACAAATTTGTTTTTGTTTCCATCTTCCGCCCTGCTGAGTTGTACAAGGAGAGCGCTAAGACTGAGGAGAAAGTCCTCACTTTACTGAACCACTCTCCATAGTGAGTCCCCACCTGCTTATCTTCACAGTCATTCATGGTCTTACCCATCCTCTCTAGAGGACTGTTAGCCCTCAGAAGAAGAGCCTCTGTCCCTTCTGGGTACAAAGCAGTGTCTGGAACACAGCAGGGTGCAATAAAATGTTGGCCAGTGTACCTTTGTTACTTTAAAACTGCTTGGAACTTTTGGGGGAAAGCAGCATGTAAATACTTCAGCAAACAAACAGTTTTGCCCTTATCATAAGCAGATAAGAAAAGATCAATGGCTCAGCATCCAGTTCTCACAGTGGCCACCCAGATGACTGTGGAAAACCCCGAGCAGGACCCGAGCAAAGCAGCGCTCTTCCCTGCTGTGGGAACTGATATTCAGAAGCAATACTGGCCCTGACCTTGGAGGAAGGGCTTAGCTACCATGGCTAGTATCGCCACTATCATTCTGTTTAGCAGTTAAAAAGTGCCTTCTCAACTGTGTAAAGTGTTTTCAAATGCATCACCTCAGTAATCTGCATAATCCAACCGTGGGAAACCTAATACGACCCACAAATACTCCCCACCTGTGCTGCAAGGCCATTTCGGCCAAGTCACACCTACCTGCCTTAGACCTGATGACATAAATGAGCCAAACGGAGGTTTGCAGGCACCTGCAAAAGCCCCGCACGGGGCTTTGGAAACCCCGGCAACCAGCCATTCATCAGCACTTTCAAAGTACAGGCCTTTGCCCCAACAATTTGATTTCCAACAATGCTGGGGGGAAAGCAGGTTACAGGGCTGCCCTGACTTGCAAGGTTTTTGGGAGGGATGCTGCAGCAATGTGCATTAAGTACTGGGAGCACGAAAAATAGTTGTTTTCCTCATCCACATCCCCATTTTTCAAACATGATGATGAAGCAGTTGAAGAAGACTTCCAGCACTTTGGGGCTGGACCTTTGATGCCTTGTCTGTCCTCCATGACAATTACGCAGCAGAAGATCACGCAGCTTTGCTCAATTTGCATAAGACACCCAGTCCACAGAATCCACCTTTTCTGGTGCAGGATTCTGATTTTTATTTTCTCAGTGGTAAAGGATACTGAGCCTCACCCCACACTCTCCATTTTGGAGACCCACATTTCTGGAAGCCATACAGCCACCCCACATCCCCAGTCATGCCCCACAGCTGCCTGAACTCATGGGAGAAGCAACAAGAAAAAGGAGGTTAGCAAATGGGCAGGACTCTGCATGCCTCGTTTGCTGCCAAATCAGTTGGAATGGAACTGGCCCTACAAATGTCTATCGGAGAGGAAGTTATACCCATGTTCTTTAGATATGAACTACCAGGTTCTTCCAAGGGAGAGGCAGAGGAGGTGGGGAAGGGGGTTCTTGCTCACCTGGTGAAGTCCTCATCCCCAATCATATGGCGTGGCACAGGGGAGTAGCGGGCAGGCGCGACCTGGGGCGGAGCAGGGTAAGCTGGCTTGCTCTCCATTCCTCCAAGGTAGCCCAGGCCAGGGTTATGGCTTATGTGATTGTCAGCCAAGGCAGAGAAAGCTAAGGAGACACAAAGAAGAGGCATCAGTGAGGCAGAACAAAGGGGGCTGAGGCAGGGCTGTGGTAGGGCTGAGGTGTGGGGTGGGGATCCTTGTTTAGAGCCAAGGCCCTGGCCCCAGGTGGGGAGCCTTCTGAGGCCCACATGGCAGCCATGGACCAGAAGGGGAAAGTTGGCAGAATGACCTTTGTGCAGTAGGTTACATGGCAGTCACCAGAAAAGTGAAAGGCTTCCATGCACTCATATCTCTATTGCCATCCAGGCAAGGAAGAGACATTCCTCCAACTCTACAATCCTATGATTCTGTATTTCCACAGTTCATGGGTAAGTTCCAGGCAGGCAAAGGCATTCAAGCTGGCTGCTGAGCAGATCTGGTGAGAGGTACGTCCTGAAGAGCAGTGGTGTGGCTTAGCTAGAATCCCACAGTCCAGATGGAGAGGTCTAGATGTTCTCCACCTCTAGGCTAAGGGATACTCTAGAGAGCACCCCATCTTTCTCCCCCTCAGTGCCCCAGGACTATAAATTCCCCCTGGTGCCTGTGAGGTCAAGAGTGGGATGAAATCTGCCCCCCCCACCTTTTTCCTTGCCTTCTCCTCTTGGGTCTGTGTGGGGGGTGGGAAGCAGTAACTCAGCGCCTGACATGTTCTCTGGTGCAAGAACTGACCCAATACATTTTGGCAGCTGAGGCCGGATCTGTTGTCCCCGTGGCTCCTGCTGCTCAAGGCGATGATTCAACTTGCCTCATGGGTGGGCTGGTCCTGTCCAGCACCTCCTCTAAGGGCAAAGGTTTGCTGATAGGAGGAGGGGCCAGAGACAATCCCAGTACAGGAGGGGCCTTACTGGAAGTGTCTGACAGCACAGAAGCAAAACCTCCCCTTGTGTCGCAGACTAGTTGCACACAGAGGAATGGTGGGAGGCACCAGTTGAGGAACCTCCAAAGGAAGAAGGCTCAGGTAGGACAAGGATGAGTGGTCAGAGAGAGAAGAGGGAGAAGACTGGGAAGAGTGGATGTCAGTAGCTGAAGAGGTAACAGGGCTTAGTGAGCTGGGAGAGTGTGGCAGAAGCAGAGGCTGGAGAGGAGGAGGGCCGTGAGGCAAAGATGAATCAGGCTGGTGAAGAAGCCAGGGTGGCTCCCCCTCCTGCTGTGACTACCTCCCCTCCCACCTGGTCTCCCAGAACCCACAGAGGTATGAAGAGGGTGGAGCAAAGAGAGACAAGGCATTGGGAGTCTCAGATTGCTTGGGAAGGGGGAGACGTAGGCAGCTGTGGGAAAGCGGGGCAAGACCTACCAAGAAGAGTTGCTGTGCTCATTAGGCCTGAGCAGATCTTGTTACTAATAAAGAGTTCACTTACTCTGTGTGATTTATTACTGACTTGCTCCTGACACTTTGACATCCCGCTGGGACTCTCCATGGGAACTGATCCCACACTTTCTGGTTCCACAACCACCTCCTCCTTCTCCTCCAGCTCCGGGGCTTCCTGATGCCCTGACAGAACCTGTCCCAACCCACTGGGACCATGCACAGGACCACCAGTTCCCAGCTCCCCCCCTTCTTTCTGATCCAAACACCCACTTCAGAACACCTCCACAGGGCTCATGACACCCTACATGCAAAATAGCTTCTCTTCCACTGAGCTCTGACTCCCACCCCAGGAGCAGGAGGCAGGGGAGGGCAGGTACGTACTGCTGGCGTAGTCAGGTGGTGCATACATGTCGTTGAGGTGGGAGCTGCCTGGCTTGGCCACCTTCAGGTACACCATGTCCGAAGTGTTCTTCAGTGCAGCCACGGCCTCCTCATGTCGGACGTCTTGCAGGTTGGTGTTGTTCACCTGGAGAGAGTGGGTATGGCAGGGGCAGGAGAGAGAAAACAGCCAGAGGCTTGTCTATAGGCCAGAAGTGTTGCAGATCTGACAGACTGAGCCAACTGAGATGGGCCAATGAGAAGAAACTTGCTAAATCAGATGCATCCCACAGTGCCCAACTGCAGTAGTGTCTGACTGCCTCTGAGCATGGGTGCTCCATCCCTATCATGGCCAATGACAAACATAACAAAACGACTCCAGTATCCTACTTCCCATGGGCGTATCCAGGGTTTATGTTGTGGGGGATAGGCTTTATGTTGGGCGAGGGCAGAACTGAGTTATCTGTGATGCAATTGGTTAAGTGTTTTTATTTATTTACTTGACTAGGAGGGGCACCTGCCCCCCCAGGCTATGCCCATGCTGCTTCCTGCAGCCGGCAATTGGATGGGCCTGAAGGGCCACAGGTCTCCCCAGTTTTACATTCCCAGTTCAGCAGAGAGAGACTGCCTCTGAGCATGAGTGTTCCACTGTGAATGAAAAACCTAAACAGAGGCCTGCCGGGATCAGATCATCTAGCTGCCTTCCCACAGTAAACGAACGGATGCTTCTAAGAAGCCATGCCAGGCCGCAAAATGTTTTGGGGTGGCCACACAATTGGCAGGCACTGCCCAGCACCCAGCTCCCTTGCACCGAGAGTTGATGCCATCCATGCTGTCACCCATCCCAACGCTTCGAAGAAAACAAGTCGGGTGCTCACTGCTAGCAGTCGGTCGCCAATCTGCAGCCGCCCATCTTTCTGAGCCGCACCACCTTCTATGATCTTGGTGATGTAAATGCTGTTGTCTCCAGGGATGTGCTGGTTCCCGAGACCCCCGGCGATGCTGAAGCCCAACCCTGGGGAGAAGGAGGTGGGGTTAGGGAGCTCTGCGATGGCTGCGCTGGGATGTGGAGAGATCTGCCTGCCATGGGCCACGTAAGAACATTAGGAGAGCCTGGATGTGGGCTTAGGCCAGGGGCCCATCAAGTCCAGGATCCTGTTCTCACAGTGGGAACCCAGATGCCTGTGGGGAACATGAAAGCAGGATCTGGGTGCAGCAGCAATCTCTCCTCTTGCAGGTTCCAGCAACTGGTATTCAGAAGCACTAACACCTCCAACTGTGGAGGAAGAGCACAGTCACCCTGGCTAGTAGCCATTGATAGCTTGATGCTCCATTAATTTATTTAATCCATTTTTATAGTCTGCTATGTAATCTGGTATAAAATCTCTGGGGTGTTGTTTTTTTCCTCCCAGGCTACTGCCCCTAGGCCCATTATCCCTCCCCAGTTTTTCACATTTCTATCCTTTCCTTAAAAAAAAAAAAAAAGACTAGTAAGCAATAGGTGGGCGAGAGCGCAAAAAAGTGAGTTTCTGGGTCACTGAATTCTAGACTCTTAGAGGAGCAGGTTGCAGGCATTGGGTTGGAGGGTTTGCTGAGGAGGAGCAAGGGACAGGGGTGTTGGGACCTGTGTCCCTGGCCCCTCCTCTCCGGTGGGCTCTGTCACCTACTAAAAGCCACAGAACCCTGCTACACCAAAAGGAAGTTTGCCAATATCCAACCCTAAGGAGCTGAGTCAGGGCCATGACCTTCTGGAGGCCCAAGAGATGGTCTGTGCCTCTGTTGACAGCCTGCTGGAGACCTCCTTCTCAGCAGCAGAATCTGGCTCTTGATTGCACAGGTAAGATGGAACCTGCCCCTGGACTGCTGCTCCTTCACCACAGAAGGAGCACCAACTTCCGCACGATCCCTGCCAGTGTCTTTGAGCAATCTCTAGTTTTTCCCTGGACCAGCCTCACTCTCTGAGTATAAGGAGGTTGCCTTATACTGAGTCAGGCCCTCTTGTACAGCACTGTCTCTAAATCAACCAGCAGCAGGCAGGCAGGGAGTCTCTCCCCAGTGCTACCTGGAGATGTTGGGGATTGAACCTGGGACCTTCTGCACAGACCATGGAGTCCAGCAGTGAGCCATGGGCCTTTCCACAGGAAGCTGCCTTACACCGGGTTGGACCATGGGTCCCTCTTGCCCGGTATTGTCACTATGCTACCTGGCAGGATCTCACCAGGGTTTGAGCCAGGAAATGTCTCCCAACCCTACTTGGGCTTGAGACCAGGACCTTGTGTATGCAAAGCTGATGCTTCACTACTGAGCCACGGCCCTTTCCCTTCAACCTCAGCAGCTCTTGCTCCAACCACCCCACTTTGCCCTGGACAACTGGGACAAACCCACCTGGGTGTTTGGATCCACCCAGCACTGACCCCTGCTTGGCTCCTGGCCGCAGCCCAACTTCACGGCAGGGGCCTAGAGACCACTGGCCTCCAGGTTTATCCACCAGCCGGGAAGCAACAGCCCCAGATCCATGCTAGCACATGACTGCCAGCAGGGCCCACACCCAGGGCAGTCACCTTTGGGTCCTTTCATCAGGTTGACCTCCATGATGGTCTCTGGTGGGGGCTGCCTTCTCCGCACCAGGAGCCTCACCACAGGCCCCGCTTCCTTCAGGGCCTCCACGGCCTTGCTGTGCACGACCTCGGAAACATCGACCTCGTTCACTCTCAGGACACAGTCGTTCACCCTGCGCCACAGGGGCAGAACAGCCAAAGAGGAGATGGTGAGGGAGGGGAGAACTCCGGAGGGCTAGCATAAGTATGTATATAAATATTTTAAAGAAAACGGCCCTCAATCGCTCCTTAGTGGTTCCCCAGCAGAATGCCCTAAGATGGGCAGGTGCAGGGCCCAAGGTGAGCAACCACCCCAAACCCTCCACCCTTACCTCCTGCTGTGTCCTCATTTTACTTTGTAAAATTCAATCAATTTTCTGGGAGAAATCCTGTTTTTAAAATTGGTGTGGTGGGGGTGGAAAATATGGCAATATGGAAAAGCTGGATGGGGGTATGGGCATTGACCTTGGGCCAACTGATAGATGAAGAAATCAAACATTATACTTATGGTGCATTAAGAGAAAATATCATCTGCCAGTTGTGGCCCAATGGCAATACCTGCAATTGTAACTCCTTTTAATAACTCTTGTTTGGTCCGGGAGCCTTCTCGGCTTAAGAGAACCCTGAAATATTGGAGCAATTGGATAATTCATTTGAAGGTAAAAAGCCAGGATTACTTTTTATGGATATTTATTATGAATAAATAAATTCTGATATGCAGAGTTTTAAAAAAGACTAGAATAAAGAATTCAAATGTTGACTATGAACCAGAAAATGGGAAATTGTTTTAGCTTTGGGAGCAGATGTATCGATTATATTAAGACTTATGTAGCAGAAAATATTATTCGGAATTTATTGGACTCCCTTATGCCTGTAGAAGAAAGGGCTATCTAATGTAGGCCTTTGCTAGAGATGTAATATGGATAATGATTCTTGAAAACAAACGTTTTTACAATACTTACTAAGTTTTAGGAAAGAGTGCTGGACTGTATAAATAAGATGCTATGGAGAAATTTAAGACTTTCAGAAGTGAATATTATTTTGAACTATATACCTACTGTATGGAAAGTGACAATGTGACAGCAAAAATGGGCTCTACGTGCCCCTAATGGTTGCTAAGAGACTAATACTGATGAACTGGAAGAATAGAAATATGATTCCCCTTAATCAATGACTTGACAACATGACAATATTAGAAACATATGAATGTACCGCTTATAGACACAGACTTTCTTTGCATAAATAAAATGATATCTAGAACGACTTTACACTGAATATATGCAGTTACTAATAAAATTAGTATTTGAATAATAATAATACTATAAACATTTGTATATTAATGTATGGAAATGTAATTGAGTATTTTTCTTTTATTTTTATTTCCATTCATGTTTTCTTTCTTTCTTTTTTGTTTTCATCACTTTTTTATAAGTGAAATTCTAATAAAATATCGAAAGAAAGAACGAAAAAGAATCTCAAAGTGGTTAAATCAACATGTTAAAATGGGGCCCATGGGCACTTTTGAGCAGCTGCAGTGGGTGCCACCCCACTTCTGATCACTTCTCTTTGGCTTCCCTAGACGAGGACCATCTCTGAGAAAGAGAGAGGACATGCATGGAAACGCTTCCTTTTTCCAAGGGATCTGGGCAAAAGTCAGATCCAGTAGAATTAACTTGAACCTTGAAAAGCACATAGAGCTGAAAGAGGAAGTTGGGAAGAGCGTCACCCTTCCAAATTCCTCCTTCAGCTGTATGGGCTTCTCAGGAGAGAAAAAGGCAACCATCTTCACTACCTCATGACCAAGGATGAGGTGAGTGAGGAGGCTCAGAGGTTTCATGGGCAGCAGAGGAAGACCTCATGGGTGCCCTTGAGCCCACAGGTGCCATGTTGGCAACTTTGTGTTAAGCGTACACTGAAACAAAACATGCATATACAAAAAACACAATCTAAAAATAGTCTGAGTGGTACGACCGTGCATTAACAGTCAGGAAATGGCTGAATGAATAGCTGTGAGTATCTACAGAGAGTCTAAAACACACTTTTTAATTTGTTTTGTTTTTACGGCACGCACGCAAGCACGCACGCACACACAGTTCATCAACAAACATCTCATTTTAGGTTGCTTATCTGTACCTGCTTCCCTCCGCCCCCCCCCCCCCAAGGCTCAAGATCCACCCTATGGCAGGACACTCACCCCAGACGCCCATCCATGGCAGCTGCTCCACCTGGGATGATCTTGGTTATGAAAATGCCAGGGTCATCAGGAATGTGTGGATTATCGATCCCTCCAGCAATGCTAAATCCAAGGCCAGAATTTCCCTGACAAGTGTTAAAAAAAAGGAATAAATAAATGGGATGAATCGTAGAGTTGGAAGGGATCCTGATAATCATCTAGTCCAACCGCTTGCAACGCAGGGATCCAACCTGAAACTTTGGTGTTATCAGCACCATGCTCTAACCAACTGAGCTACCCAGGCTGAGCTTATATGCTAACGATAATGAGAACAATGCAGCAATTCAAGGGCACTGAAAACATTCAACAGAAAATAACAATGGACATGAATGTAAAACTTGAAGTCTGCCAGGTATCCTGATGTGGAAAATGAAAAAATCTCCTAGCCTCTGTTGAAAAGCACAGTCCTACCACATATAGCTGGGTCAGTTCTCAATACCATAAGCTCTGGTTTCCAAGACCACAACAGTGGAAAGAAGAAAGAGGGAACACACATGTTAGATCCCCTTGCCCAGCCATCCCCAACGTGGTGTTGTCCAAATGTTTTGAACTTCAATCAACCATAGTCAGCCATCCAATCTAATGGGAATTGCAGTCCAAAATATCTGGAGAGCACCAGGTTGAGGAAAGGCTGCCCTTTTCTCTCTGTGCTCCCCATGCTTGTACCTACAGAGCCAGGATGCATGGGCCTGCATGGGAGGACTAACAAAGCCCAATACAGTCCAGAGACAAGTAGCACTAGCCCTGGCACCACATCCATGGCAAGGGTCCACTGGCTCTCACTCACCCTTTCCAGGACAATCTCTTCATACTTGAACATCCCGTCACTGCCATTCACCTGGGGAAACAAACAGGAAAAGTTTAACAAACAGATGCTGAAATATGAGATGCCCAAAATCAGTATTGGCGTTCCACTCACCCTTGTAGACACACCTGTTTGCAGAAGCATTTCCCTAGACTTAGACTTCCTGACCTAATTTTTTTAATTGCCTTTTTAATTGTTGTGCTTTTTAAAAGCCTTTTTTACTGCAAGTTTTAATTATGGATGTTTTTGATATTTTTTATGGAATTTTTGTGTGTGATCTTTAATTATGTGTGGATAGCTTATCATTGATTTTATACTTGTAAACCATATAGAAGCTGTCTTGGCATGTAAGTAGTATCTGGGGTTATTATTGTGATTAGACACAATTTCTGGGACACAGGATTTTCTGGCACAAGGCTCCCTGCCTTCACAAATATACAGTGGTACCTTGGTTTACGAACTTAATCTGTTCAGGAAGTCCGTTCTTAAACCAAAGTGTTCTTAAACCAAGGTGTGCTTTCCCATACATAGCAGTGGGGGACTCAATTTACACTCAACAGGAAGCAAAACATGTTCTGCTTCGAAGGCAAACATCTACTTTTGAGTTTGCAGCATTCTTAATCCAAGTTGTTCATAAACTAAGCTGTCATTAAACCAAGGTACCACTGTACGTCCTAATTGTAAGGGCTTATCCACACTTACCTTTTGCCTAACACTTTGTAGACACGGGTCTATGCTTTGAAGTGCTGCATCTGAGCACTGCCCCACACACATTACTTTCCCCAGGAAAAACCCCCATTTAACACTGAATCAGAATAAACAACAATTCAGATTTTCCACAGATTTGTTGTTTGCTCTGATTCAGTGGTAAAGAGCAGGTGCACTGGGGCAAAGCACCGGGGCGAAAAAACACAAAGAACCAAAATCCCGGTGCTCAGACACACTTGTATTTTAAAGTGGAACTCTGGGTGAGCCCGTAATATATCACATCAGAGGCAGGCTGAGCAGAAGCAAGGAGGGGGAGAGATCTGAAGAATATCCTAACAGCCTCAGCAAGAAACTAAGAAGTGGATGGGACATATTCAAATGCACTGTAAGCTAAGGGGGGGACGGGACAAAAGAGATATTTATTAATCCAACACATTAGAAGAGACAGCACATCTAAATGTTTTGTTTTGATTTATCTGAATTTCTCTAAAGAAGGGCCATTAGGGTTGAAACAAGTTGGATTATTAAATCCCTCCTTTGACAACCCCATTCCAATTCACTCCCACTTCAAGTTCCTTTTTGGGGTGCCCATTTTGTTGCATCATCACATCCTCAAAGGACTACTGATTGTGGTGACTAAAGGGCCATGAAAAGTCCAATTCTGAATTTTGCCGGCTCTGCACAAATATGCCTCCCCTGCCAGGGAGAGGAGCATGGTGCAGCTTCTGCATTAACTAAACAAAAATTCTGCACATAACCACAACTTGCACCGCTTATTCTGCTTTCTAGATCAGCAGAGAAGGGCCGGGACAGATGGGATGGGGAGGATAGAGACCAGGGACCAGCAGAAGCAGGTGGGGGAAAGCAGCAATTTTGAAGGGCAATGAAATGCAGAGTGTACCTGGGAGAAATTAGATTCAGTTCACGTTTAAAGGCAAACCTTACAAATTTGTACTTTTTGGGGAAAAAATATGCATCCTGAAACACAGGCATCCACTTTCCCAAATTTTGCAGCGCAGTACTCTAGCCAAGTAAGGTGCACCCAAAAATGCATACACTGGGGCAAAGCGTGCATAAAAATGCATATATTAGTGAAGATAATGTACAAAAATGCATTGTGTCAGGGGAAACCACTATACAAAAAAAATGTGTACATTAGGCAAAACTACATACAATTTTTTTTGAAAAATGCTTACTAAAATGTGTTAATAATTTCCTTTTAAAAATGTTTCTAAACTGATGTGGAATGCGGAGAACTGAACTCAAGATTGGAAAAATGAGAATGAGAGAAACTAAAATGCCCATCCCTTATCTCACTCACCAAAACCAGAGAAAAAGCTGGGAGTTTTATGTCCCAAAGGCAACAGATTTCTGTGGCCAGCAAACAGAATATTCTAGAATTTCCAGGTGGAATTTGTCAGGAATGCCCAGTCCCCTTTTTATTTTCTTTTAACACATGCATAACGCAGATTCTTGACACACTGTGGTCACTCCATATCTAGGAGTGATATGGGAGGACACACCCAGGAACGCTAAGTTCTCCATGCCTTGGAGTTGTGAGACAGGTTTTGTGCAATGAGCTGTGCCTTAGCTACGGGGAAGGGGGGACTAGCCTGGTTTTTGCCCCGAGTGCAGCGGTGTGGGTGTAGGCAAATGTGTCTTGGGTGTGTGTGCCGAAGTGGGTGTTTGACCTGGGTGAAATAAAGCCTCATTTCACCTTCGGCAATGAGCCCCATGCCACTGTTGGCAAGAAAGAGAAACTTCCTTCCCTTCACAGGACATTGTAGGACTCTGTGGACAAGGCACAAACCACACAGGAAAAGATGCAGACTTACAGAGAGGGCAGGCTCCAGGGTTTCTGTGTTCACAATAATGGGCGAGGGGCTGGCCTGAAAGAGAGACAAAAAGAAAAAGCCATGGTTGTTCATTTAAATTCCCATGATAAGAAGACAGGGAGCGCTGCCTTATATACTGAGCCCGGCTGCAGGTCCATCTAGCCCATGGTTGTCTGCACCGGCAGGCAGCAGCTCTCCAGAGTTTCAGGGAGGGTTCTCTCCCAGCCATACCAGGAATTGCCAGGGACTGAATATGAGAACTTTTGAAGGCAGGTGATCCACCACTAAGCTACATCCCTTCAACCAAATCGACCCAGGCCCTCCCTTCCCAGATTGGCTTCCTGCAACCACTCAATCTGCCCCCACCAGAAAAGCCACATTCCCATCTACAGTTCTCCCCAGGAAGCAAATTCCCCCAGCTTCTCTATTGTGCAACAGCAGGAAATCAATCCACCTTTTTTCCCCAGTCCAGCAATTACCCTGCCTCTTAGGAACCAACCGAAAGCTTTCCGGATATGGATTCTAAGGAACCGCCTTACCCCAGGTTCTTCAACCGAGGCCCTTCAGATATTTGTCTGACCACAACTCCCATCATCCCCAACCAGCTTGGCCATTTTGGACTACCACACCCATCAGTCATGCTGGCTGGGGATGATGGGAATTGTAGTCCAAAAAGCTGGAGGGCACCAGGTTGAAGAAGGCAGGTTTACTCTGACTGCTCGTTCTCCAGCCCCAGGCAGTGATTCTCGTTGGACTTGTTACCAAAGGTCCTTGTAACCCAGAGCAGGGCTGCAAACATGCCCCCCTTCTATGGAACAGCGTTCCTGCATTTCCCAGAAACAACTGAATATATTTTTGTTCCAACAAGCCGCCTTGGCTGGATTAAAAGATCTCTGCTCTGTGTTTTTTAACTGCTTTTTATGCTGCTTTTTACTGCATTTTGTACATTGTCTTGAGACATGGGGTGTGAAAGGCAATCAATTATTGCATCAATCATAATAATGATAACTGCACCAAGCACTGCTGGTGCAGGTAGCTGGATATAACACCTTTCACATACAATGCATGTGCTGAGCCAATTTACCCTCCTCCCCTTCTAAAGCAAATGTAAGGTATCTCCTGGAAAAGAGAGAGAGACAGAGAGAGAGAGTTGAATCCTGTACTGTAGGGTAATGTTTTTGCAACAACAACAACAAAATTAAAAAATGATTTGGCATTTATTTCTGAATTTCTAGCCCTGCTTTCCAGTCATTCCAAGCAACTGTAATTTTTTTTTAAAAAAAATAGGACACGTGCCAGTTTTTACTAGTAACTCTAAAAAACGAAAAGAAAATTTCCAGCTCTCCACACCTGGTGGATCAAAAATCTGGCAAATATTAAAACACGTTCATGGTCTTCTTAAAACCACAGGCAGTTGAGTACAATGCAAGTCTGATCTCCGCCCGCCCGCCAAAAACCCCCTTGGGATTGTAAACCCCTGCTCACAAAATCCCTGCCCCAACCCAGGGCTACATGTCTCTTCTGATTAAGCAATTGGGAGCTGTTCAGCACAAGAACCTGCTGAAGGTAAGTGAGGAGGAGGGAGGCTTGCTCAGTGGTTAAGAGCATACACTTTGCAAGCAGAAGATCAAGCCTCCAGGACCAGCTGGGAAGGGATGAAGAAGACCTTTCTCTAACTGTGAGAGCCACTGCCTGTCAAAGCCATTATTATTATTATTATTATTACAACAACCTGCCTTTCACCTTAAAGTGGATGGGTTACAATAATTACATGTTACACATTCTTAAAAACACTTCACAATATTAAAATATTGCAGAAGCACCTTACAACCACAGAGAAAGGTAGATCCTAAACTGACTGGGAAGATAAGATATCAACGAGATCAAAAATTCATAGAGGACTGGGGAAAATTAACAGATTACTGGGAATGTTTAAGTGATAATGAAATAATGTTAGTGGCATTTAGAGAAGCTCTGTGATAAAATAAGAAATATTGTAAAAAAGTAAAATATAAGAGGGGGAAGGTATAAAGGCAATATCAAAATTTGGAAATGTGTATTTAAAAAAAACTAAATTCGAATGATTGGCAGAGAAGTCGAAGGAAGTCAAAAACTGAAAAGTTTAACTGAAATTGTAATATGGAATGATTGTATGGAAAATTAATAAAATATGATTATAAAAAAAAGAAAGGTAGATCCTAAAGATATACATCTCAAAAGCCAGGGCAAATAGGTGAGTCTTCTGCACCCACCCAAGATGCCTAGCGAAGGTGCCAAGCGCATTGGAGATCCATATCTTAGGGGCTGCCGCAGGACATTCCCTCTCCTAGGCAGCCCGCCCCCCAAGATTATGAGAGAAGTGGAACAACTAAGAGGGGGCTGCCCAAATGGTATATGCATAAAAATGGAAAGAAAAAGCAGTTCCAATGAAAGACAATCAACAATTAAAACTGATGGAATACGCAGAGATGGCGAAACTTACCAGAAGAATAAGAGATCAAGATGAGAGACTTTTTTTTAGCAGAATGGGGGGAAATTGTTGAATATATGAAGACAAATGGTAAACAATTTTAGAACGTTAGCAGGATTGACATAAACCCGAGCAGTAAGAAATAACATAAATTTGTAAATAGGTTTGAATTGGTTATGCAGTAAGCTTATTATATAAAGTAAGGAATTGCGGGGGGGAGTCGAAGAAAATGCAGGTTACATTTGTTTTGATTTAATTTTTGTTGTTGAGATGTTGTAAAGTGCAGAAATGGAAAAATATTTTTGAAAAGGAACAATTAAGAGAGACACCACTACTTGCATTAGTACCTAATAGGGTATTAAGGAAGGAGATTGTGGTTTCTATTGTCTGCACCTTGAATTGGGCTCCATATAAAGCAGCTTCGTGGGGCACCAAGAGCATTCCCGAGAACAAAATAAGCTGCCCCTGATTTTGGCATGATCGACATTGCCAAAAGCCAGGGCAATGGAGCTTTAACATGCACAGAAGGGGAGTGGGTGGAAGAGGCCCAAGGCACCTCCAGAGAACACAGCCAGGATGTACGCATGCCTGCTGGGTGTGTGAGAGAGTAATATGGCCACTGCCATTCAGATGGCAAGAGGCTGGCTGGTGAATACTGCCCTGGATTCTTCCAGCTATCGGAAGAGATTTTCCCTGCCCAAGGGTGAACAGGTTGGTCCCCGAGGACTGAGCCGCGTGCTGCTGAAAGGCCTTGTCACATCCCTTCCATCCAGGCCACTGCCTCCCATTCTTGTTGCTCATTCAATCTCCCTGAGATGCTCAAGGCAGCACTCAGGACCCTGAAGAGCTCCCCATCCCAGCCTGGTTTCCAGCCGAATGGGCAGATTGTCGCTGGTGCGGCTGTGAAGAAGTTGCAGAGCGGGGAAAGCTTCTAGGGGATTCTGAGCTCACATAAAAAATGTGGAGGGATGCTTCAGAGGGCAACGGGCCATGAGAGAAGGGGCAAGAAAAACACAATAGGGGAAGGATAAGCAGAGGAATCAGGAAGGGGAAGCAGTAAGCAATGTGGCCAAGCCATCCGTCCCCAGCATCTCTGAACAGTTGGCCTGTGTTGGGCTGGTGAATTGGAAGCTGGCCACTGAGAGACCATTAAGCTTATTGGGGGACACTGGTCTGATGGCACAGAGGGAGGACCTTAGTTTATTTCTTTAACTGACACATTGCATAACCACCTTTCTTTCTCAAAGAAACTTCAAGGGCCATTGCTTTGTGGTGGAACCCTTGCTTGGAATGCAGAAGGTCCCAGGTTCAATCCCCACCATTTCCAGATTTAAGATGACAATGGCAATAATATCAGTTGCAGATGGACAAATAAGCTGACCTGCCATAAGGTAGCTTCTTATGTTTCCCAGGTGGCAAATGTAAAAAAGGAAAGAAAAAACAAAAACAAAAACAGGAACAGAAAGAAACCTGGAACCAGATATAACAAGAAGAGAAGTGGGTATCCAGCATTAAAACTAGAGTTAGGATAAGACCAGATTTTTAAAAGGTCCAGATGCCTTAAAAAGCATCAGAGTACATGCTAGGCAGGTCTCCCTGGGAGAGCTTTCCAAAGATATGGTGCCATAACCAAAAAGGCTCTGTCAAGTCACCACCCACCCACCCAAATTATTTATTTACTATATTTGTATCCTGACTTTCCTTCGAGGAGCTCAAGGGTGGTGTTTACAGCTGCACCCCTACCCTCAACTCCAATTTATCCCTAAGATGTTGGTTAGGTAATTGCTATTGCCATGGTTTATTTCATGTATGAATTGCAGCAACTCAAAACACTTTTAAAACACAATAAAGTCGCATGTAAAGCAATTGCATACATTCTTGGAGGACACAAGATTATTTAGATCAGTTCCAATCTGGGTTCAGAACTGAGTCCACCTTGGTTGCCTTGGTGGATGACCTTTGCAGAGGGTGGGACATGGGAGTGTGACCTTGTTCCTGCTTCTTGATCTCTCGTCAGCATTTGATACCATCAACCATGGTTTTCTCCTGGACCAGTTCCAGGGAATGAGAACTTACAGCGATTCCAATCATACAATGTTGAGAGAGTGCCTTTCTGCCCCCTGGTGGCCATGCTATGGGGTGCCACAGGAGGCTATCTTAACTCCAGTGCTATTTAATATCTGTTGTGAGCAATCATTAGGGGTTTGGGGGAAATGCAGATGGCACGCAGCTCTATTTCCCCATAACAACTGAATCAGGGTGGGCCATGCAGCCTGGATACAATGGGGAAATGGATGAAGAAAAACAAGCTGAGCTTGGATCCTGGCAAGGTGGAGGCACTGTGGGATGAGTAGCTCCTCTGTCTGAGAAACTGGTCAGTTATCCACCCTGGATGAGGTTGCTCTGCCCCTGAGAAAACAGGCTCGTAGTTTGGGGCACTTCTGGATCCAGCTCAGTCACTGGGGGCTCAGGTAGCATCAATGGCTAGTACAGTCATACCTCGGGTTAAAGACACTTCAGGTTGAGTGTTTTCAGGTTGCGTTCCACGGCAACCTGGAAGTAACGGAAGGGGTTACTTCTGGGT